GAGAGAGAGAGGGGAATAACATGGTACGTACATGGATGTGGTCCGGGTTGGGTGGAGTGTATCCCGACACTCCGTCCCTATCTCCCCCCCCCCTTCCCTCCTCCTGTCGCTCTCTGCGACGGTGGTCGCCCTCTGTTGCTCTCTGTCCGAAACCTCATGACACAAATGGAAGGAAAGGCCTCTGCCCCTCCCCTCCCCTCCCCCCCCCCCTTGACAGCTCGTTTGGCCGTATGAATACAGGTATGGATATGATTTCTAGTGTCATGAGGGATCAATGTCTGTTGTATGTTGTGTGCTTGTCATCATGGCAACGGTGAGGTAATGCGCGTGGTAGGTTGGCTAGAAGGTGCTGAGATGGGATGGGAAGGCGAGGTTCCTCGTCGGCTCTGTGCGAAGATGCGCGGATGCGCCTCGTTTGAGCGCGGAAGAACAGGTACGGACATTGCTTTCAGCTGCAAGGGTGTCTGCTTAATGCTGGATCATCACCATCAGCCCACCATCGCTGTCGAATGCAGCTCCTCGGGCAGGACGTGCGACACGTCACGCGACAAAGGTCCGGTTCCGCGCACGGACGGCAGCAGGGCCCTCGGGCTCGGTGCGGCCAGTGGAGGAGAACTTGAGACGCAACGCCGCGCGCCGCTGCAGCTCACGCCCGGCACGCCGATCGGCCGCCGACTGGGCCTTGGTCTTGCGAACGCTTGTCTTGAATCGCATCGGAGGCTGCTCTGGTGCATCGGCGTGGACCACAGTGGCCCGGTAGCTCATCCGCTTCCATGACGTGGTGTTTGCCACCCGCGCGCCTGGCCGCGATCGCTTTTTCCGGCTCTTTCCCACAACAGGGACTTCCACGGGCGCGGTAGCCATCACTACCCGCTGCTGCTCGCGGCGCTCTCTCAGGACCCGCCGTACCACGCTCCGAGTCGCCTCAAGCTCCTCTCGACTCGTCCGTGCACCCTGATCACCGCCTCTCTCGCCGTGCGCAGGTCCCATCGATCTTGACGGCATGACCGAGCTACTTTCCCCATCGTAGCGCCTGTCCATGCCCGCCGCCGCATTCTTTTCCCAGCTACTCCCGCTGAGTGCCAACGGGTGCTGAGGACCCCGTCCGGCCAGCACACCATCATCACGCTGGCTGCTGTCCGTCCAGAAGCGACCATCCGAGCCTGCAGCGCTCCCATAGCCGCCACCCGCCTTTCCTGTTCTTGGCACATCAACGGCGTAGCCATCGGAAGCGCCATGTCCTCGGCGAGCCACGTCGATGCCGTTGGTGGCCGCCACCGGGCAAGGAGCATGCGCTCTTCGGCCTCGGTTCCGGCACGGGCAAGTGCCTCCAGTGCCTCTAGTGCCTCCAGCTGCGCCTCCACCTCGTCCACAAGATACTCCATACTCTGTTCAGCCATGGGTCTGTCTACGCCGTCGCCGCTCTCGCCGCTCTCGCCACAGTCGCCTCAGAGACGGCTGTGCCAATGCCTCTCCGCCGCTTCCCGCCAAGTCCCCGCTCGCCGCCGGCCGCTCGCCGCCGGCCGCCCGACGCGCTGCCGTCGCCGCACTCAGGCGAACACACAGCCTGTGGAGATGAATGCTGGGTGTGGTTCAATGATGTTGCTGCCTTCTTGCGAGGGGAAGGATGAGGGGAGGCTGCGCTGATTGGACACGGGAGCGGCCATGGATCCGATACCCGTGGTATCGGGGCAGTGGGGATGGCGAGGGCGGTGCGGGTCAAGGAGCCGTCTCTCTGCCTCAAGCACGTTGTCGACGACTGGGACCGCAACTGGGAAATACGGCTCGAGCCGCATGATGGGGGGGGGGGAGGGTAGCTGATGATTGATTTGATGTTACTACTTCTTCTTGCCGCCCTTGCGCTTGCCGGCACCCTTCTTGGGTGCTCCGCGGCCGGAGCGGGACAGCTCAGCCGCCTTTGCCTTGCGTCTGCTGCGGATCTCGTCCATGTAGCCCGGGAAGGCATGGGAGAGAATGGGCATGTAGTAGTCTGTCCTCTCCCGCCAGCCGCCGCATCATCATCACCACCACAGTCACACGCCGGGCAACCAGATCATCATCACCACCAGGCCACGATCCGCCCACCAGACGACCAGATGACCAGACCGCAGCCACCAGCCACCATCGCCATCGCCATCATCGCCATCATCGCCACCACAGCCCCACCACCACAGCCACAGCCACCAGCCAGCCACCACCACCACCACCACCACCACAGCCACCACCACCACCATCACCACCACCACCATCATCACCATCATAACCACAGCCACAGCCACAGCCACACCCCCACAACCACACCCCACAACCACACCCCACAACCACACCCCACAACCACACCCCACAACCACAACCAGCAACATCATCACGTCATACCCATATCCACACACACACACACCATGAGTGCCCCCCGCTCTCCCTCCCCATCCCCGGCCCACCCCTACTC